ACGGCTTCGAGCCGCGCAGACGGCTGCGCTCCGCGAAAGAACATGGGCAGGCCGCGTAGGATGCGGCCGCAATACCACCCGGAGCCGCAATCGCGGCGCGGCAACACGAAATCGGGGCGCAATCGCGGCGCGGCCCGAATAAAAAAAAAAAATCAAAAAAAATAATTTTCGTGTAAAATTAAAAAAAAAAAATACCTAATTTCTCCTTATGCTTTTTCCGCGTCCTGCCATTTTTTGGAATTTTTTTTCGAACGTTTTTTGTCCAAAAAAAAATTGTTGAATTTTTGCTTTTTTTTGGGTATGGATTGAGAGATTTGAGAGAGGAGTGAGGGAAAGGTCCGTTTTTGCTGTATGGGACGTGCGTTTTTTTTGGGTCAATTTCAATTTTATTTTTTTTTTATTTTTTTTTAGTAAGGGTAATTTTGTATTTTTTGGGTGCGGTATTGAGTTTTTGGATGCGGTGTTTAGTAAATGAGTTTGTATTTTTGGATATGGTGTTTAGTAAATGAGTTTGTAGAAGAATTGTTAATTATAACACAATTATGTGATAAAAGTTTGTCCCTCGTATTTAAGGTATTCATCTAAATAATGCACGTGCTTGCGTCTTTTAGACTTTAATTTTCAATGGAGGACTTGATTGCGGACTCGAGGTAAGGGAAGGAGGGGGCGGGTCGGGGGCCGGCATCAGGGAAGCTGATGTTTATCGGCGAAAATTCTTAATTGCCCCATAATAAAATAATCATTCGAAAAGAAAAGCAGTCTGGGTACAATTCCACAAATACAATTTTTTGGAACCGCAGTGATTGATTTTGAATTTCAAAACAGAAGTTAATACAACAGTTAAATTAAATAAAAAAAGAATTAATACAAACCACCCAATTAATATATATTATCAATTTTTTTCTCTCTATTTCTTCTCTTTCTTCTCTCTTCTTTCTCTGTGTGCCTTTTTCCCACTTCTCTTCCTTCCCTCTTCTTTCTCTGTGTGTTGAATCTCTTTCCCACATTATTTCTTGTTCATCTTCTCCTTTTCTTATTTTCTTCAAATATGAATGCTTAAGCATAAAACCAACAATAAAAAAAAATTTGATCAAGAAATTGTACATACAAAATTGATCACTGAAGACGCAACAAAAGAAGAAAAAACGTGAAGCGTATACTAGAGATAAAAATAAGAAGATTAAAAAATTAAAGTTATTGTACAACAACAACAAAAAAATATCGCAACACCTCAAAATCAACATAAAACCAACAGAGATCTCATGTTTTTATTAGGGTCCAATTTCTATTAACACAATCAATTCTTATTTATTGACTACTAGCAACTCCAGTATTAATAAATCACTTTTAATATTGGAAAGACTTCAAGGATTTTTTTTATTTTTTTTAACAATTACAAGCGATCAGTTTCAGCAAAAGGGGGAAAATTGTGGGAGGAGGGTAGGTTCGATGCTTCCATTAGGGGTAGTGCCCCAAGGGTGTGGCAATAGCATTTTGCTATTTGTCATTTTAGATGTTTTATTCCATACAATTTAAAACCTTTAACCATTTTCAAATGTTGATTTTATAATATCTTTGCCTGTTATCAGGCTCTGATACCATTTTTTCTAGGGCACACGGATCAAATGAAAACATCATTTGATACTGTGTTTTATGCGGAATAATTTCGAGAGAGATGAGACTCTGCTTCGATAAATTCGTTTTTTACGAACCTCAAATTCTGGGGCTGTAATGGATTTTCGTTTTGAACGAGTCGAATACTATAAGCCATTCTTTCGATATCTGAAGCAATAAGATTTTTATCGCAAGTTCGAACCAGAGTTCGATATTTTGCTTTCAACCTTAAAATAGTTGATTCTAAAATATATTCCCATGGAATGGCTGGCATTATATTCTATTGTTCAAATCTGTAACCTGATGTTGCAAATTATAAACCATGTCTCTGAGTTTTATTTCTTTAGAAAATTCTTCAACTGGAGGTGTTATTTTCTGAAGAGTTTTGAAAACATTTTCTTTTCTTTAATAACACTAGAGTTTTCTAGGTTTCTGCAGATTGGGGTTTTTAGAGACAAAACCTCATTAAATAATTCATCAATAGAGATGCGATCTTTATGCATGAATTTTATGATGTGGTGCGAATTACTCAAAGCATAATTAATTTTATAACAAATGGAAAATGGATGATTTCCTTGTTTCATAAAATCTTTTCTTAATAATTTATAATTCAAAATTATAGATCGATCAAGATTTATATCTTTCAGAGAAAGACCAATCTGAAGATTTATATCAAACTTGATTTTGCCCATTTTAAGATTGCCAGTTCCCTCAGCAATCTTTGATTCGTTAAGATTAATCAGACGATTATCTCTTAGTATTAATTCTAAAAGGGAATTTATCCCTTTCAGAAAAGTACTTTTAATTATAATTTGAATCGTTGAAATATGAATGTATTTCATTCTGATTCTTTCCTTTTCCGGTAACGATAAAATTCGTTTACGGATTTGGTCTTGATTTATGGTAGATAGCAAAATACTACCATCTGTGTTTTCAATCGGAACAACGACTTCACCGGTCATTATACCAAACCTTAAAACATTTTCTCGGGAGAAAACTCTTTTCAAATCCTGTTTAAGGCTTGTTTTGAAATTCTCATTTTCCTTGATGGAAAAGTCAGATTTTTCAATTTTTCGGCAAAGTAGAGCATCTATGAAAAACTCATTTTGATCTTCGATTTGTTCGATGATCTCCATTTAAAAAAGATTTCCAATGGTGTCTTTTGAAAGTTTTATTTTAGGATGTTTTAAATCCCCTAGTATTAAGAATTCAGAAGTTATCTGATATTCAAATTTTTCTAAGAAATCGGTTCCAAGAACAAATTCTTTAGAATTTTCTTCTACGAGGAGTGAGCAAGTTATCATCTGGATTCCAGATAATTCAAACTTGATCTCAGTTCCTTGTGTGAAGGTTTTCTCAAAGCCCTTAGAGTTTTTAATGATTCTTTGTGGAATATCAAACAGAATTTCAACAAATTCAGATGATATGTATGAACATATTGTACTGGTATCAATCAGTACTGGTACTATAATATTTTTATTATTGACGCATAGAATGCTAAAAATATGATATTGAAAATTGTAAAAACAATTTAAAAGGTCCATTTTACCTGATATAGTTTTTCTGTATCGTCTTTTTCTTGTTGAAGGAGGATTGTTCTTCTTCTTTTCCTTGTGGATTGTTGTGTTGAGGTTCTCGGGTAAGATTTAATTTTTTGGGTATCCCGTGAGGAGATTTTAATTTTCTTTTCTAGGTATCCACCCGTAGTGGTTGTACAGGTACTATCCCCTGCCGGAACTTGTTGCTATACAGCGCACAAGTGAGAAGAAGAGTCTTCAACTTAATTACTTCTGCTTATTTTGATACACAAGAGGGCCTTTTATAGGCAATACAAACATAGAGTGACCGATAACCGGTAGAACCCTTCATACCTAATCACGCGTAAAAAGATAAAGTGAACACGCGTCCTTTAGTAAATGGTCCACTAAACAACTGTGGCCATTTTAATATGTACAATAATTTAGTGGTCCATTAAGGAGTCCACTTTCTTTACGCAACCACTAAAGTTGACATTATTGAGGTCTGAGTGGTTGAAATGGGGTCCGTGCTTTTGATGTTGTCGGATTTGGAGACGTCACTGCATGCATCACACTTTTCTTCTTCCTTCAGAGGAGGAAATTCTTCTGGGCACAGAGAACACTTATGTGCTTCGTACTTTTGAAGTTTTTCGCACACGAAGTGTTTGAGGTCTTCTGGCATGACTTCGAAGTTTCCTTTGATATTGATCAGGTCTTCTTCGAATTTGATCATTTTGTTTACCATCCATTCTGTGGCCTTCTTAGTGGTGTTTGAAATGACCATTATTCCTTCTCCTTCTGCAAGGACTTTGAAACCAGTGTTCGTGGTTCCCCATTGACGGCTGTAGTTGTAGAATTGATTAATTTGTTCTACAAACATTTTATAGGTAAATTTAATTGCCTTTTTCTGGATCTCTGGATACGATCCATTTGCTAGACCCATCTTAACAATATGCTTGGGTCGTATAATTATACCTTCATCAAAGTAGGGATATGTACTTTGAAGTTTTAGGTATATTTCTTTTCCTTTGGCAAACAGCTTATTGAATTGGTTCGCCATTTTTCTTATACATCCGGGGAGTTCTTCTAATTCTGCATAACTCTTTTTTTCACTTTCTTGCAAGTAGATTGTTGAAATTAATCCACTCTTAAAAAAGGAGTTTATTAAGGTCGGACTGGCTCCTGTTAGGAATACTGCCTTTACCCCGGTGATGGAGTTTGCCGGATAGAAGCATTCCTGAGTGAACTCTTCTGAGTACTCCGTTAGCCATTTCCAGTTTCTGTGGAACTCGACTTCGTTGGGTTCTGTCGAGACGTCCTTTAGTTGCCTTTGGATCAACTGCTGAGTAGCTATCCTTTTGCTATACCCCAAAGATTTGTCCGTTTGGAGGTCTGGATCTGTCGAGACTGTATGGTAAGCTCTTTTGTAGGCTTTCAGAGCATCCTCGTAGGTTGGATACTTCTGGCGTCTTACTGGCTTGCCGATGATGTGTAATTTGGCAATATTCCAATTTTTATAAACGCCTTTCATTAGACCATCAAAAATTACATAGGCTTCTTTTGAGAGTGAATCCTCAGTCTGAACCTTTTCCTGTTTAGGCGGAGGGTTCTTCTCCAATGTCTGTGAAGACAGTTTTGAGGATGAAGCCTCATGTTGAACTGTTTCCTCTGAAGGAGGAGAGTTCGTCTCCTTTACCTGTGAAGGTAGTTGTTGTTGGGCTCGGGCCTGTGCAACTTTGTTTTGAATAAGCTCTGAGGTTTGAATTTCCTTTTGAGCTTCTTCTTCTTCAATTTGGTCTGCCCAAGATTTGCTGGAATGTTGAAGTTTTTCCAGGTTTTTTATTGTTTCTTCAATCTCCCCCCTCTGCGAGAAAAGAGAGTTGAGTCTTTTTTGTGCAGCTAGGATCTGCTCGTCCTTCTGCTTTAGCTGATGTTGAAGTTGCTTTATTGCTGGCTCCATTCTCTTGTCAGTGTGTCGGCGAACGGGTTTTTCTCCGATTTGATTAACTCCAAGTAGGGCTGGAATTGTTGCAGTCACAATTGCCACCGTATCAGTCTTCCGTTCCTGTAATCAGTTCGGATGTTATATCTCCAAAAACCTGCAAAGTATTTGGAATCTGTTCGCAATAGAAATCTGGAAGATAATAAATCTATTTTCCATTTTTCTAATACACGGACTCCTACGAGAACTTCAAGTTCCGCTATTGGATACCGGGTTTCAGTGTCACTAAAAGTTCCACTGGTGTATCTACACAATAAGAGTTGTTTTTCAAACTCCGTCGGTATTTTTAGAAGTCTGTCGGATAAATCGGTCTGTCCAATCAGAGCTATAATTTTGCCTTGCTCATCGAGCGAAAGCTTTTTATTCCCATTGGGAAGAGCCCTCATACATCCTGCCCAAACATGCTGTGAAGCATCAGTTTCGATGATTAGAAAGTCATCGTTGGTTGGATTGTAGAGTTGAGGCAAGGTGACTATCTTGCTTTTGATTTTTTTAATAACTTCAGAATCTGAGTCTGTCCAAGACCATGGGACTTCGTCTGAAAGTTCTTTTGCAAAACTTTTCTTTTTGTGGATAAATCTTTGAAATATCCTTCATTTGAAATGTAGTTTAAACATCCCAAAAATCTTTGAATTTGTTTACGATTTTCGAAAACATCTGGAAAAGCTAGAATCTTTTCCTGAGTATGAGGTGATAAATCAATTTTCCCATCTCCTTTGATAATTGTTCCAAGATATTCAATTTCTGTTTGAACAAGTTTTGATTTTTTCTTTGAAATCACAATTCCTTTTTCTTTGACTCTTGTCAAAACTTTTTGAACATCGGAAATATGTTCTTGTCTTGATCCTTTGGAAAATATAAGGATATCGTCAATATATGCCAAGCAAATATGTTCAAGTCCTTCGAGGGACTTATCCATAAATCTTTGGTATATACTGGGAGCTTGTTTTAGTCCAAATGATAAAACATCCCATTCGTAATGTTTTTGCGGTGGACACGAAAAAGCTGTTAAGGGCTTAGTTTCTTCACTAAGTCTTAGCTGATAATAGCCAGATTTAGCGTCGAGACTAGAAAACCACTTTGACCCTTTTATTTTTTCAAAAATAAAGTCCTTTCTTGGTAATTTGTAGGAATCACCAATAGTGGCTTCATTCATTTTTTTGTAATTGATAACATACGCCTTTTACCGCGTTTAATTTCATTATGATTTTCGACATAAAATGCTGGTGCTGAATGAGGACTCGCACTTTCTCTTATCAAGTCTTTGCTGAGCAGATCTTGACATTCTTGTTGAAATTCTTCAACATCTCTAATGGTATAAGGTATCCTATTAGGAACATTTACTTCCTTATGGGTATCCTTGAGTTTTATCACAACCAACTCTTGGTTTGTGTTTTTCAAACTATCGAGAGGATGATCAGAACATACCTCTTCGAGACTTTGTTCAATGGTTTTGTAGAACAAAATGCTTTCAAGAGTAATTTGAATTTGACAAAACTTTTCGGAAACGATTTTTACTAACTCATTTTGAGTTAAAATTCTTGTAGTAACAAGTTTTCTTTCTTTTGGATTAAAAAGGTTTTTCCAATTTAAAGAAACTGTATTTGCTCTTTGAACAAAGGGTTCGTAGAGTTTTAGAAAATTGTTTCCAATGATTAGGTCTCGGCCTGAATCATGGAGATAAATAGATGGTACGATGAATTCGTATCCTTCTATAAGAATCTTTTGATTTTGCAAAACATAGTGAATAAAATGTTTTAATTTATCAGCAATAATAATTTCCTTTGGGGAAACTAGTTTTTGCCATTTGTTTGAAATAGACTTTCGACCAAAGCAAAGGGTTGCGCCTGTGTCGATATAAGCCAAAAATTGTTTTTCTCGAAGTGAGATTTTGATGAAGGTAACACTAGGGTTACTCTTATTCAGAATCTTTTCGTCATTTTCTGAAATTAGTTCAAAAATTTCTTCATCTGACGAAATATCAGACTCAATTGGTTTGTAACCAAGATCATAAACCATTTTTAAAACTTTAGTTTTCTTTGAAAATTTCTTTTTTAGGCATTCATTAGCGTAATGACCTTTTTCTTGGCAAAGCCAACAAGTGCAATCCTTTTTACCTTGAGGACATGCATCTTTTCTTTTGTAAGATTTTCGAGAGTTGTTTCTCCTGAAATATCTTTTGTTTTTGTAAAACGATTTTTTATGCTTTTTAAGAGAGATTCTTTAAAAAAAAAATTTCCTACGCTTTCTTTTGAAAGGTTTTTGCACCCGCATTCGGATACCTTTTCTTGTAGCTTATTACAACATAATCCAACAGCGGCCTGCCTTTTAGCCATCTTTTGGTTACATTGTTCAGTAAGCCAGATTTTCAAAGTTGTTATTCTACCACCAAGATTATTATTAACCTTGTTTGCAGAAACATTTGTTTGAAAATACTCATTTACTTGGGTTGAAACATACTCAGGTAATTTTGCAAAAAACATTTGATCAACCTTCTTGGTTGTTCTGTCAATAGGTTCTATATTGTAGTAATATTTGCTAAATTCGCAAATATAATTATCAATATAGCACATATTGCATATTTTTAAATTAACTATCTTCTAATAGTTAGGGTTTGAAAATGCAATCTCGCTTTCAATTGTTGGTGCTCGTCCAACAAATTCTGAAATAAGGAGTTGATAAACCCATCCTCCGACATCACTTGGATTAGCGGGGAGTTGGTTTAATAACTCAGTTGGAAGTTTGCTTAAATATTTATATGCATTCCTTTTGTTCTGTATAACAAATAATTGAGGATGTCAAGAGAACTTAATCCCTTTAATTCTTCGTTTATCTGTAATAGAACAGAATTGGTATTGTACCAATCTCTTATTGCTGTGTTAATATCATCAACACAGTCAATGTCTAACGTACCTGGTCCACCATTTATATGATGTTCTGGAACATATCATCTTGGAATACTTTCAAATTTTTGACGATAGAATTCTTTTTCTTGTCCAATCGTTCTTTTTCTTTTGAACGGATTTCTTGACGACTCTCCCTCCACAATTTTTACATTGAATGGGTTGTCTGCTGGTTCGTCTTCGAATTCGTCGTCGGAACTGAACCCGTAGACTAGGTCGTTCTGGTTTTCTGATTTTTCATCATCAGAATTTTCATGGTTTTTACCTAAATCAAAGGCTGCCATGAGTTTGGATAACTCATCCAATTGTTTTTCCAATATTTCTTTGCTTTCCTCGACTTGAATCAAAGGAATCGAATAGGCGGTGTAATCCTATTTGGTCGTTTTTCAGGAGCAACTGATGGAAGAACAATGTCTTTTCCTTTTTGTAGCTTATTGATTAAAAAAGCTATCATATTTGATATGTTATTCAACTGCGGGTTGAATGTATGGAACAGATGAGGCCATTTGGATGAATCTTGTAACATGTTTTTCTTCATTTCTTATATTAAAGAGGATGTCTGGTTCGGCATTGCCTTGTTCAACAGATTCATTAAAATATTTATTTTCAGAAAACTTTTCCTTTATTGCTAAAAGATAAAGGTTTTGCTGAGTAATTTTTGCTTCGAGGGCATCAACTTTTTGAGAAAGTTTTTCAAGAGTTTGAGTAATTGGTTCTTTACTCATATTTTCTCTTTTGGAAGTATGAATATGTAACCGCACATTTTAACCTCAACATTTTTTACAATTGTTTTGCCCATAGCAAATTAAGGTGTGGATATAGGATATAAAGTGACACATGTCACTTAATTAGGGGATGACTGCACTGCATGTACAGGCAGCATCGAATTTTACGTGGGAGGAGTGCGCGGAAGGACCTTACGAGTTTTGGCGTGGTCGAGCTGAGGAACCGGAGAGCAGGGGCGGTGCTAGGATTTTAAAATACTTGGGGCTAATGAAACTGCGATCTCCTATTCTTTTTAGATTCAAATTCGGTGATTATAGTATCATTATTAATCTTTTCGACTAACTCCCTTTCAATGTAAATAACCATTGAATACGCCAAAAAATCTTCTTCCACCTTATTACGAAAAACTGTCTTGACAAGTTTCATAGCCGAAAACGCTCGCTCTGTAGTTGCCGTAGGCACAGGGAGAGTCAAAACAAGACGAATTAACCTGTCAAATAAATTAAATAAATTAGATCAAATAAAGAACAAATTGATAGTCTTTCTTTTGTTCGTAACTTGACCCTCCATTATGATTGAAACCTATCAAGTTAACAAAAAATAGTAAATTAATCAAGCATTTGGATGATATAAGCAATCTAAAAGATACGAAAAAAAATAATAGAAAAAGATAATCAAGAATGATTTGTTGGTTTTTGTACACAATTTTATTATGAAGGCCAAAAAGCATCCACACCTTTACATGATCAACAAGCATTAACACATATAATTAAACTAAAAACATGTTACCATCTCAACTTCAACATAAATTTTTAGAACTTGTGACAAAACAAATATAGCCACAGCCATAGGCCCACAAACCACAAATTGGGAGAAAAACAATTAAGGTTTCAGCTTTCAATTTACATATGGCAATACAAAGAGACAAACCAAAATTACCAAATTTAAATCAAACCTATGACAAATTACAGAACAAAGATACAAACAAAAAAAATTAAAAAAACCAGTCACTACATTTCAATTCACAAAATTCACATTTGACACCATATTTCAATTCATACTCTCAATAAACCAAAAATAAATTCAGGACGGCTATTCATACTCTCAATAAATCAAAAATAAATTCAGGTTTAGCCGTATTACCTCGGCGCTCGGAGTCACTCTTGGTCCCGCTAACTTGCTGGCTGCCGCCCGCGACTGCTCGATCCTCGAAGCCCGAAGGTCTCGCTTCCTCTGTTCTTCGCAATCGCCGCACCCGCACACCGATCTCGCAATCGCCGACGCCGGATGGAAGATGTCCCATTCACCGTCGCAGAGGCTTGAAAGAACAAGGGTGAGAGTCGAGGGGTTTGAAACTTGCAGATTACAGATTAACAAAGGCTATCAATTTAGTAGAGCCTGTCGTCTATTTTGTACTGAAGAAAAGTGAGAGTTGTACCATTCTAACAGCCCAATAATGGTTTTAAATTTTTTTGTGCTTTGTTGTTATCTTGTTGGGCTAATTCAAGGGCAAACAAAAAATTACCTGGGGCTATTTAACAATAAAAATCTAAAATGTAAATAATTTTTTTTTTTTTTTTTACCTGGGCTGGAGCCCACCCAGGCCCATGAGTGGCTCCGCCCCTGCCGAAGAGTCGCCTCGGCGACGGCTGGATAAGCAAACTCGTGGCTTAGACACGATCAGAAAAATGTCCGTAGGATGGGCTCGGCGATGTGCCCGCAAAATCCTCTCTCTATATAGCACAGTGAAAGAAATGATGCTCACATGAGAATGATGCTCAGCGAAAGAAATGAGAATAAACCGTATCCATTAGATCAAATGATTTAATGGCTAAAATAAAGTCAAAACTATACTTTCATTAAGGCAATGTAGTAATTTAGCACACCACACCCAAAGAGGTAGACCCATTCCACATTAATTAATTAACCTGCCAAGTCCAACCACTCTCACACACACCAACACACACCAATACGCACGCACATCAACACACACATACACACATAGTGTCAGCCAACATCTCCGTCCACTCCCCGCCGACGCCGTTGCTCTGCCACCATCTCCGTCCACTCCCCCGTCTGCCGGAATCCTCGCAGCGCTGCTGTCACTGCTCCGACCACACATGTCGCCATAATCCTCGGAGCGCCATCTACTCACTTTTCCTCACCGGCTCCTACAAAAGTCCCTCCTCCGACCACCCCGTTCGCCACCGCCGCATCACCTTCAGTTTGTCGTCGCAGCCTCACATATGACATTCGGCGCCGCCGCTCGCTACTGCAAACTGCTCCGATCGCCACTACAACCATGCCACCGCTCGCCGCTGCAACTCTGCTGCCACTTGCCGCTGCAACACCGCCGTCTCCGACACACACACACACACACTCACACTATTCAAGCGTGCAATACCTGCGCTCGCCTCCGACCCCTCTCACACAGAGACCGCCGCCTTCCTAAGTAGCCACCGTCATCCTCTGCCACAGGGCTCCAGGCATGCCACCTCCGGCTGAGTAAAGACCAGCTCTAAATGTGTACAAGCCAGACGACAATACGACCGTGACAAAGGTCGGTGACCGTCGATTCGCTGGAAAAATGTGCTGAAATCAATTTGGGAGTGGGGTTTCTTGTGAGAATTTGATAGTTTTTAGGGGCCTCTTAGCAATTTATATATTTTGTTATATTTCAATTTAACCTCTGGGTCAAATTTGTAATATAAGAAGTTAATAAAGAATATTAAACCTGCTATTAACACTAAGGTATTAAAGCATCAAAAATGCTGATATAATATTTTAAACCTGCGTTTTTAGGTCCATTATGACCAAATATATATATATATATATATATATATATATATATATATGTTAAACATATATATATAAATGTTAAAATAATAAATACGCTTTTACAATAATAAATAATAGAATATTTTAATCATTTAGGTTAATTCAATTATCCAATCAAATGACCCAATTATTTCAATTCCTTTTTAATTTGAATTCGCATTTAAAAATCCCGGACAACAGATTGTGCAATAGAATTAGACGTTATGCACTGTCAGATTGCACAATATTGATAAAATTTTAAATAAAAATATTGAAACACTAAAAATATTTTTTATTATATAAATAATAAATTATTACAATTATTTCGGTTAATCGAAATACTCATTTAGTCGATTAAATAAACTAGTTATTTCGATTCGGAATTAGATTGGGTTGTGACAAATCATTAAAAATGCATGGATTAGGATTGCACAATAGTGTTATACAAATTGCACATTAATGACTATCAGACTGCACAGTATCGAAGTATAAAATTTCGAATTGAATTTTTAAATATAAATATTAAACACTAAATATACTTTTATTATATAAATATTAAATTATTACAATTATTTCGGTTAATCGAAATACTCGTTTAATCGATTGAATAAACTAGTTATTTCGATTCGGAATTAGATAAACTCGAATGTTTGGGTTCGATGTGATTGTTTTTAAGCAAAATAACCAAACAACATAAACATATAACAATATTATTATTTCTATTTTTATTATATTTTTATGCATTGTGATTGCACAATAAAGTTAGACGAATTGCACTTTAATGACTATCTGATTGCACAATATCGACAAAACTCGATCAAAAAAAATATCTTATTTAGTTAAAAATTTTATGTTATTATTATATTTTATGCAGTATATTGCACAATAACGTTAGACGAATTGCACTTTAACGACTAACTGATTGCACAATATAGACCAAGCTCGACCTTACTATTTTTTTTTTGTTTCAGTTCAGAAAAATTATATTTATTGGTTCGATTACATGATTTTTACTCTTCAAAATCTCGGTCAAAATTCATATATATAGTGCATATATATATATATATATATATGTTTTTTTAAATTACATAAACTATCGAAATATAAAATAAAAAATATTATTTTGTTATTTTTTTATTTTAAGTCTTACAACAAAAACTAATATAAAAATATTANTTTTTTTTTTTTTTCTAATTTTAAATTTCATATTTACAAGCAATATAATGCACAATATTGTGTAATATCATGTACTTTGGTTTTGACATTTTGGTCGGTCGGTTCGACCAACTCGACTGATGAGTAGTATTTTACACTCCGTAATTTATTTGAACTTTTAATGTGCGCATACACACACTATATTGTGCATTATATTGATTATTATTGTGAATTTATTAATTTGTTGGTAAATTGTAAATTTTACCTATAAACTAAATTGTAATAAAATAAAAATTTTGAAATCTATATATATATAATTACTAGCTAATCCCATTTAATAAAACATTTAATAAAAATATTTTCACTTTCCCTCCAAAAAGGAGTTACATTTTTTTAATTAATTACTCAGTAATTACATTTAAGAAGGTTTCTTTTAGTTAAACCTAATTAGTTAATAGCTAAATTAAAAATGTTTCTTTTAGTTAATCCCACATTTATGTTTCTTATTCTCATTTATATATATAAACGTGGCAGTCATTATTATTGTGCAGAAACTATATATTATTATTTTTTTATTCCATTATGAATTGAATAAGCAATTAAAGTTATAAAAAGTATTAATAAATGTATTAAATACAAACATTATAATACAGATTATGTTACATTACAATATAAAAAATGAAATTATTTTTTTTGTAATTTAATTTCCAACCATACTCCATCAAACATATAGCTGCAAAATGATAAGAAAGATTTGTTTCATAATTAAAATTAAAAATTTAACTCCCCCAAATAGTAAAACCTTATAAATTAGTAGTATAGATACATTTAAATGACATATAATTTATAAACTTAGACTATACGCATAATAAGATGAATTAAAAAAAAATAATAAATTAAATAAATAAATTATTATTATTATAGCACAGTCTATATAATTATTATAGCAAAGTCTATATTGTCAATATTATCATTTAAAAAGTTCATTGGAAAAACATATGTATAAAAAAAATCCATATGATCATAATCAATAGTGCAAAATTAACTATCTTTGACTTTTCATTTGGTAGTAATAATAAAATATTTTATAATACTACTATTCAATAAAATACATGATTTCTGCAGGTTTGATTATCGCAATCAACATTTTGTTTTATAAATTAAAAAGTGTGCTGAATAAATTGTCTCATATTTTTCATTAAAAAAAATTGTTTGCCATGAAAAAAAAATATTATTTCAAAATTATAAATATAAATATGATTAATTTTCATTAAACAATTCCTGTTTAAGAAAAAAGTGGCGAGACAAATTTTTGCATGATTATAGCGTCAAAACATATCCAAAACATCAATATTTTAATGCATTAAAAACCATACTTTCAGCAACAGAAAAGTCATATTAAACAGAAATTGGCAGAGTCAAAGAATGAGGATTGACAAAGTATTGTATGTAATGGCAGATTGTTGCATGATATATAAATATCAAGCATAATTAATAATCAAAAATCATAATTAAAAACACAGCAAATTATGTGGAACATTATTGGACACAATACAATATAGAAACAAAAATCATTTGATTTCCCTATCATTATCAACACATTCAACTTTTACCAAGATATCTGCCTTTATATTAAAATCGATTTTTTGCGTAGAAGTTTTAAAAATAAAAATTCTTACAGATTCTTTTAAACATTAAACAAGAAATTCCTAATATGCGATAAATATATCTAAACATATTTGTTATAAACTTACCTAATATTTCCAAATTTTGAACAAAATATTAAAAACTTTGAAAAACTTCGGCAAAAGACTTTGAACAACTTCGAAAAGTGATTTTGAACAAGTTACATATGTATGTCACAATCTGAACTATTCAGTGTTCACAATCTGAACAATTTAGTGTTCACATATGTATGTTAATATAAAGGCATAAAAGTTACATATGAACAAAATACATAAAAGTTACATATGTATGTTATAAACAGATATGTTATAAACTCACCTATATATTTGTTAGTAGAGCTGAACAGATCTGTTAAAACTTACCTATTTTTTCAAACCCTAAACAAAATACATAAAAGTTTGAAAAAGTTCGACCAATGTCATGTTCTCTTCGAAAAACGATTTTGAAAAACATCTAAATAATTTCGAATTATGTATAAAATATGATATATCTTTGAAGCTTATTCACAAAGAATTTCGAAGAACTGTGGATCATTGAATATAATAAAAAATAAAAATTACGTTTAACAAAAAATGTTTCAGCTCTTCATAGATTTGTAATATTATCGCCGGATTTTGACCGACCTGTTAAGATTTAGCAACACAGATTAAGAAATCGGGACGAATATTTATTTTTCGATCACTACTGTTGGCCACAAAAACTACATTTCTCGGATGTTTTTTTTTTAATTTTTTAAGCCTTTACCGGGAGAAAATCTCCAGTAAAACATTTGTTTTGTATTGAATCTCGCCGAGTTTGTCGTAAGATCGGGTTTAGAATTAGAGTTTCAGACAGAGTGACTAACGAGAGAAGCGCCGACATCAAACAAACAAAAATGGTTTACATCACTCTCAAGGAGTTTATCTCTATTTATAGTCATGTTATCATTAACCTTTTTATATTTGATTTGTCTACCCTAAAAAATTAAGTGGACTTCTAATTTGGGCTTTTTTTTTTTATCATTCAATCAATATATTTCTTTACGGTCCAAAAATTGCTATTTTGTTCAAATGTCTTAAATATTTGGCACATATCATTATTTATCAACTAAATACAATTATTTATTTTGTAATATTTTGCTGGGAACTTTTTTAGTTTATTTTTAAATTTCCTATATGATCTATAATACAAAATACAATAATTATTTTAAAAAAATAAAAGCATTATATGTCTTAATTTAAAGATAGTGATTTGTAGTGATGAAAATTCTGTTGATAGAAAAACCACAAACGTTGTATATAAATAATTGTTTAACAATATTTAGTTATTCTTTCTTAGAACATTTTTCCAATGATTATATTATGATTTCTACTATTGTTTATATCTTTTTATTATTTTTTGTTCTATTATTACTTTCCGTGCAAATGCACGGGTTAAAAACTAATTGCAACTAAAACCATGTGACATTCATCAAATCACCAATTTGCCCCACATACTAAATTGAAAATTTATCAAAAGTTGAGAAATTGCAACTAGGTCCCTTATCCCCATCAAATTTTCAAAATGTAGCCCATATATCAAACACAGCCCCAAAACGCCAGCAGTCTGTCTTCGGCGGCGATTTTGATGGCAGCGGTCACGTTGTAGATCTCCTGTGTGGTCGCAGGCTCCGCCGCCTGTAAGCAGAGGGCTATGGATTTTCACCTGTTGCGTCGGCACCCGCCAGGGAGAAACGACCACTAGATCTGCCACGGCTCGAGGACGCCGGTCTCGATGATTGCGTCATGCCGCCGGAGTCTATCACAGAGTCGTTCCAAGCGACCTGCGTTTGCCGTCGGATCTGTCGACGATGACAAAGCTGTGGGTTTCTGTGGATTGGTGTTGTCGGCGCATCTCGCCGGAGTCTTAGCGGCGGACGGCGGCGCTGCAATGGAGGTGAGCACTGGTGGACGGCGGCCGTATAGTGATGCCGTCGGCTGAGACGCGGTGGCTGTTTGGTGCCGGCGGCGGTGTTGCTGCGTGTGTGTATGTGTGTGTATGTGTGTGTGCAGATCGTGAGAAAGAGGGAGAGGGTGATGAGTAATGAGAGAGAAAATAGTATTTAAGTGGTGAGTGGGTCCCATATATAATATATGTGTATTGACCAACTTACCCTTTATTATTGGTCAAATGTACATATTTGACCCACTATGATCAAATAATTAATAGATTGCCATTAATGATTGTCTATATTTTGAGTTCATCTTAACCATTATTATTGATCCCATGGTCTAGATTTATTTTTATTTTTTTCACTATCTACCATTTTCATATGATCCCAACTCTCTCTCTATATATACATATATGTTAATTAATAAATAAAATGAAAGTAACTGAGAAGAAATTGTAGAGATTGCATCCCAAAAATTGGAATAGATCAAGAGAAGTAAAGCATAAAAAATAAAAACCAAATATATGGAGAAAAATACGGCACCAAAAGTTGGGTCACGAAACAAAGGATTTTTCTTTTAATTTTGCGATAATTTTCTTTAAATGTGAGATGTTTCGAGTGAAGAAAAGGAGAGAAGAAAAAAAGAAGAAGAAGAAGAGACGTAATTAAATAGGAGAAAAAAGAGAGAAAAAAAATAGGAAAGAAGAAGATTGAGTGATAAAGAGGTGGGAACGGTTAAGAAATCAGTTAGATATTTTTTTGCCGTGTTAGTGGAAACCAAAATTGTAGTTTTGGCTAAATAATATACAAATAAATTAATGTAAATAGATTTTTATATTAGATAAGTGATGTCATTATTTCGCCAAGGAGATATGTAAAAGTGATCCGGGAAGAAATGGGCACATTTGAGTTGCTATTTTATTATAGCCCAATTCGAAGTCCCAATGAATTCGGAGCAGCACATTACAACCCAGTCCATTGGTGAGGGCAACATGGTAATTTTGCAGGATTTTGTTTCATGCACTTCTTCAATGGAAATTAGAAGTCAGCCATTTTCATTCTTCTTCATCCATTTTCATCAAGGATATGTTCGTGATATAATTGTTGTTCACATTCAATGTAACGTTCGTGGTGATCGGATCCATAGATTCACTTAAGCTAGACTTCTGCTGTCTAAATTAAATTTTTTATTATTTGATATAAATACTTATAGGTTAAACCAATACAACATAAATAACTTTAGGTTGCATTAAAAAAGTGTTACTATAGACAATATGTAACATAAATATTGGCGCTGAAGTTGCTCGTGCTACCTAAAGTCTAATGTAATACATTGAGTAACTTTTGGTAACACATATAATTTGTGTTACGTTAAATATCATATTGCAACGCTTTGAAGTAGCACACTTTAAATGTTGTATATGATACTTTCAGTAACACTATTTCCTTAAATGCAACATTTTTCATTAAAAAGTAACACTTTATTTGTTAGTCGTATCATTTTTATTTTTGTCATTGTATTACTTTTTGAATGGTATAGTAACACTTTTCTTTATATCAACGATATTTTATTACAATAATTTTAGATATTTTATATCACTTTAAATCATTCATTATGTGCAATAAAATATTTTATATCACTTTAAATCATTCATGAACAAATGCTAACAAATAAACATAAAAAGAAATTCTTATTTATTGAATATATAATCGAAAATGTACATATTACATCCATAATTATGTCAAAGTACATAAAAATAAATAAAAAAATAAAATTAACTGGAATGCTTTCTACAATCAACATACAATCCATCATGAATAGAACGTACAAAACATTGGCCATGAATTATTAAAAGGCTAAGATTACTTCATAATGTTTATCTTCATCATCACCTTCACCGCCAGCTTCATTTCTTCAAATGTGGTAAGCAATGTCAGTCAAGGCAGAAGCAGAAGTTGTGAATTTGTTCCATCATCTACCCTGTACGTAAATGATGGATACCGTATGTTTAACATAACATCTCAGCATAAACAAATCTAAAATGACACTCATTTCATAATTTATTTCATGGATCATTCGCACTAAGCACACAACAAGAAGTCATCATGTATATCTGTGATCATGTTTTTTTTCTACACAAAAATGAGTTATATTAACCTATTTCAAGAAATTTGGGACTTCAAATTACATAAGGAGGATAGTAGTTAAGCCAAAGGATGTCAGCATATGGTATGGCAAGCTTTCAGGAGATGGTAATTTTTAGTCATCATAAAAAAAGTCCCATGCTAAGGGGAAGCATATTCAATTCTTTCCTACAAAAGCCAAAGAGGTTCATAACTTAATATTTTCATTCAGGCACTAATCCAAATGAAACTCCAAACATGTCTAGAAAGATGAATCTATCAATAAGCGCATAACTTAAAATCTCTTTTCAGACATAAGCATGAGGAGTTCTTTTGTACATATAAAATCATGAGACAAAACATTAATATCCTGGGACAGTCTAACCTGATAAAATGGATTTGGCAATGAAAGATGGATAAATCCAAGCAGATAAATAGTCAAAAAATGATTACTTTATAAGTTTGTGGTTAGGTTTCAAATCCAAACAACAAGCTCTCCAAATCATTTTCACATTAACTGCTCGAACGCAATCACAACCTTGAAACAAGTCTAGGAAGATCATTTTATCAACAAGCAAACATCTCAAAATCTCAGAGGAAAAAACAAAAAAACAAAGCAAACTGCACCCTTGCATCATAATCGAAAGCTTAATTAATAAACCAAATCATATTAAACGATCACACACACATTTCACAGCGATTGAAAGGCTCAACATTATACCAAATTCCTGATTTCATCCATACTTCCACAAGAACCTTCGTTTCACATTCCTCAAAGTTTCTCATTTTAGAAACCTATCTCAGACTACAAGAAGACAAGCAAATTAATGAGCAATCATCATACAAACCTCCATCCCAAGTTCTCAAGGAAACAATAAACACATTTCCATATGACCCAACCATTATTTCAATAAATCATCTTTAAAAACCTTAAATCACCCTTATTTAAAAATCAAGCATTCACCAAGCTGTACTGTTATATCTCAAAAAGCTAGTCGCTCTCCAGCTACTTACTTCTGCGGAAAAGAACAAATTCAGCATCCGACTTACTCTTAATTGCTTTCATCTCCGGGCAACAAGTCCCTCTTGATCCTCTTTCGTGAGGTTGTGGATGTGGTACTTACTTCTGGCTGAGAGATCGGAAACTCAACAGAAGGATCCCGGTCAACGCGAAGAACTGAATCAAGCTATCTTTATCTTCTTTTCATTCTTAAGAAAATCGAGAGGCTTGCGTCTGCCGATGGGGTTTTGAGCCCGGCCCGTGTCGCATATTAGTGTTACTTGAGAGTGTTACGTGAAAATGTTAAGTGTTGCATAAATATCATAAGTTTTATAAATTCAAAAATCCCATCCCCTTTGTATATAATTTCGGAATGCACTGAGCTTATGTGACAAACTCTCACGCTTCGGAATTTTATTTGGCAAAAAATCATATTTTGGAGTTAGACTTGAATATAAATTAATATTTTTTATCAAACTAAATCCATGATTGATTTTTGCCAAAAACTATTTGTATACTAACCATAAGCTACGCGTGAATATCTACTAAAAAAAAACATTATAATCAATCATGAACATAAAATTTCATCCATTTATTAATATAATCCGAATTGATTGGACCTAATCTTAATCCGAATGGATTTGTAGGTATTATCAGATCCAGTGGTTCTGATAATTATTTTAGTTGTATTCATGATTGGACCGTGTATCAAATTTATTGTATGAAGATTATGTATATAAATAAAATGTTTATTTGGATAATTATTGGGGACGGTTCACGCCAAATATGAGTTGGTCGGGCCCTGTTTGATGTTTTATATAAATATAAAACCATGTTTTATATAAACATATTCGCGAGATTGATTAATTTATAGAACTTATCGTGACACCATGTATAGAATATAGAGTGGGTTGTTCAATTTTACAAATTATTTTTACGGACAGGTCAACAGAGTGCATCGGCGAGCGGATGGACTGATCGTGACTATTTTTGGAGGCTTGCCGCGGAGCTTGAAGCGGCCAATCCCGCGACGCTGCGGTACGTGAATCAGTTCATCGACTCTCAACTTCACCCTGACCAACAAGGTTACAAAGAACCTGCAGTGAAGGATAATCCGAGAGGTCGGCCCAAAAAGCCCAATTCAACAAAGCGCGATCCATCGAAATGAGAGTACAGTCAAAGATGCCGTAAAAGCACTTTCTCGTGTGCTCCATCGCAATCGGAGTACACCGAAACAGGTCGCCGGGTGGGGCGTAAAAGCACTTCTTCGTGTGCTCCATCGATATGGGATTACAGGGAAAGAGGTCGTCCGGTGAGGGCGTAAGAGTAGTTCTTCGTGTGCACCGACAAGCTCGTCTTCTCAACATTCAGATGAGCCGATAGGTGATTTTTTTTTCTTATTTATTTGTTTATCTGAACGATAACTAATTATGTTTGTAAATTCGATTATCTAATTTTTGTCGTGAAATTAATATGAAATTATTGTGACGGGGGGCCTTGTGGCGAGGCGCATTGGATGGAAGTTGTAGGCAACTTCTTTGCAATTGCTACACTATTTAATGTAGTTGTCGTGTTGTTAGGCAGCGGTGACAGAAATGACAATATCGACTTCAATAGTATGACATTTTTGCCGCTGCTGGCACCATCCACGGCTACAGGACCTGATCGCGAGATCTTTATATGTCATCTTGGTTCTTACAAACACTTCATTCGTCTGAATCTGTCATCTGATTGTCTATTACCGCCTATGTGTAACCTTTGGCGGACATGCCGAGATGTGACGGTTGCAGGATGGGATGATCAGTATCAGACAAGGATCGAGTATTGGCGGCATATTCGTAGCGGACCTGGAGTTTGATATATTATGATAGTCGACTTATGTTTGCTGCGATTGATGACATTCATTATATTAATCTGCATTATGAGCGATATATTGTGATATTTGGCCGTGTTTACCGTTTGACGTGATATTATGGAATTTTTGGGTTGGAATGTGGTATGACATTTGGAAATAGATGAAAATAAAATCAAGTAACAACAAGTAAAAAAAAAAAGAAAAAAACAATTCAAATAATATTCAATCGTACAACAAAATCTAAAATAAAATAAAAAAAAAAAAGAAAAAACATTTACTACATCAATGCTACGCCCTTTCTCAATCCGCCTTAATTAGGGCCAGCGTATCTGCATGACGCGCCGCCACAACAGGATCAACAATCTCGCAATCTCGCAGTCGCAGGAGGTCTGATGATGCGGAGAATAACCGATAAAATGAGAAGTAAAAATATTATCACATATATATTAAAAAAAGACTTACTATTGTAATGAAAGCATAATAACTAAAATTTTGTAAACGACTTACATAATCAGTGTTGGCGCGCGGAGGGACGGCGTCGTTGTTCGACAGACTGTCAGGCAATAGTCTTTGATGAGAAAACTAATCATACCATTGCTGGTACTGCTCATGGGCCTCCCCTGGATCATCTGCGGTGGTCGGAGTACAATGAGTCAAGTTTACAGAATGTAGCTGCGGGAACTGGTCCCAGTGATCCACTACAGTAGTATCTGCATGCTCAACCCTGTACAACCTAGAGTTCCAGGCACGGACTACCTTGATCGGATGATCTATGCGGGGAGGGACAGTCTGGACGTAGCCCAACTGACGCAAACAGCGCAGAGGCATGTACGGCTCCACAATATCCCGGTACCTAAGGCATCCGGAGTAAAGGGTCCTAGGCTCAATGTCATGTGGTCGGCGGTCGTAGGGCAGCCAGTTCACCTGTTCACAATTGCATAAAAACATTTATTGAAATAATTCGATTATTCCAAATAACTTTCAACTAAATGTAAATAAAATAACTTAACGTACCTCGGCGGCGGTGAGAATGTCAAGCTGCCTACGGAAAGCTTTGAGGCGCGCATCTGACCTCTCCGTCACCCCCACGCTCCACAAGGTTGATCGGGCGACACAGCCAGACTCGGGGGTCATACGCGCTCATTGGGGTCGGAAGGTGGGGAAGTACTCTTATATCCAGGAGTGAATGAGAGTCAATCAGCCAGACACTCCCTGTGAGTCCCCCCTGCTGGCAATACCTAACTGTCTGTACAGGTATGCCACCGCAGCCGAGCCCCAGGAGTAAGTCCCAACTTCCCGCACCTTGTCCATCATCTCGTGCCACAAACAAGGTAGTAGCGAGCAGCACCCACAACCAGCCAATAGCCACATGCTCAGCCTACCGAGCTGCGCCATTCTTTATCAATGCATAAAAAACGGCTTGATTTGTCACCGACCCGTGATCCCAAAGACGCGTCATCAGATGACTCTGGTCCACCCCCAGGATCTCCATGCAGTTCGCCTGGCAGGTCAGGCCGTCGGGGTCCCCTCACAACCGGTGCATCCACAAGAACCCCCAAAATGGCCCTCATGTCATGCAGCATGATACTCATTTCACCTGTCTTCATGCAGCATGATACTCATTTCACCAAAAGACAGGTGAAATGAGTTGGTATCTGGCTGCCAGCGCTCAAAAAATGCAGAAATAAGTGGAGTGTCGACATGAGTATGCATGCTGGACGCCAAATGTGACAGCCCGGTCTGAACGATCATATCACGCGGATCCTGGTCCACCGTTACGAGCCAGCCCCTCAATTCACCGTGCGCTCCCTGCCTGTTTTGGCATTTCAGCATGCCTCTGAGCTCTCCAGCCCACATACGGGAGGCTACGTGCCCTAGAAAACTAGGGATAACACTCCTGTCAATGGGGCCACCGGGCACTGGGGCTGTAACGATCCAGGGGTCATTCTTCGGTCGTTTGCTACTCGCACCTGTATTAGAATAGAACAACCAATATATATACGACATATTGTGACTGACCGTATCAATTATTTAATAAAAAAACATATAATGGTAAACAACAATAAATACGTAAATCATTTACCTGAGGAAGATCCAGCGCCCGCAAAACGGCCCCCATCCGGTCATGGAGGATTAACTCGGCCGAGTCTTTTACCTGCACCGGCCGCAGGTGCAGGACCACGTGGTCGCTCTGGCTATGTCTGTGGGCCAGAAGATACAATGTCCTGCTCAGCTGCAGCAGAGTCGGATTCATATGTCTCGTCATCACCATCATCATCATCATCATTCGCCGGAGTCCTGACTGCCGACTCAGAAGAATAACCCTGCGACCGAGTGATACGTATCCGAGGGAGACGTCCCGAACTGCCAGGCATGAATGAGACGGAATGCTGACCACTCTGTATCAGAGGGGGACGTCCAGAACTGGCAAGCATGAGT